AACGCCAGATGGGTAAAGTGCAGCTCTGAATGACTCAGCATGAGGTAAGAAGTGGGATGATGTGAATGGCTACATGCAGCACGTGCGAAGTGCGCTGGCAACGGGATGGGGGAGCGCAGTCGTGACTGTCTGCCGCTGGGTCACAATACCGAAGAACTGACCCATGCCTGGCGGAGCAGCGGGCCGCGCGGTCGCCGCAGCCAGGGCTCATACTTGACCCTTGATATCTGACAATCGCTGCGCATCCGCATGCTTCGTCCGAAGCTGAAATATAAACAGTGCCCTAGACGACTCATGCGACTACGCGCCTGATGCCGACTTTAACCGATCCTGTGGATGTGACGTGATACGCTATGGAGGCAGGTTTGTGGGGCCTGGCCGAGACGAATTCGGTTCGGCCGACGAATTCGGGTGTGGCAGATCCATAACCGCAGAGTCCTTTGGGGCAAATTCTGCGTCCTGTGCATAGCTTTTCACTGGCTGATACCAAGTCCCAGAGGTGAAGGGTGGCAAAAAATAAACTTTTTGGCGACAGGTCGCAGTCTTTCAGTGGTCGCTTTATGCTTCAGGTTAAGCAGGTCAACGCAAACCCTGTCTTTTGAAGTCATAAATGCTTCGTAACCACCTTGTACGTAGAATCGTCTATCCTGACACGTTTGACCGCCCAACCAGACCAGCCTTACGCGACCGACTGAGCCACAGCTGAAATGACCAAAGACATTGGGTGTGCGTGGGATGATGGATAAAGCTAGCGCTATCATCTTCCCAACGGTGACTTCAGCCGTCTAGAGCGACCAGCACAGGAAGCGGCTGACAACTGCCGACGGCATCGTCGCGGGCCCGGTCAGCTGGGGAGGGGGGGGGGGGCTGGAGGGCGCTCGGGACCGGCCAGCCTGGAGCATCACGCCGCGCCGGTCCGCCCCTCTGTGACCGCTTCCGCATTGCGCGGGTGTACAACAAGCACTCGCCTTTCTGTAAATGGTTTCAGATTCCGGATATACCAGGAAAACTACAATGTTCCTACCTGACTTGTCTGAATTTATCTATAAATGATAAATGTCTATAAATATATATATATATATATATATATATGTATATATGTATATATGCATGCTTATATATATATATATATATATATATATACACGTATGTAAATGATATCTTTAAACGGAGAGAACTTGTCTAAAGGATTTTATATGTTGCTAGAGAGGGACTTCCTACAACTTCGCTTTACATTTCATTGCAGTGATTTGCTACCCTTTGACTAAATGACATCTGCCCATTCTTAGTTATACTCCTGCCTTTTGCTAGATGAAGCTCGTTTCCCCGAAGTCTCGGCCTGATTTTCAGTGCTCCATGTAGATCTACCTTGTCTTCCCCTGTCATAATCTTGAGGAACTCTCTCAGATTGTCTTTAAGTCTACGATATTTCAGTGAATAAAAATCTAAGGCCCTTCTGTCCTCAAGTTCTTCGTCGCCAATCTCATTCATAATCCTAGCTGCTTCCGTTTTCCAGTCTGCCTACATTCTTTTGGAAGCGTGGGATCCTAGCCTGTGCACAATACTTTTGGTGTGGTCTGACACAAGCTAAGTACAACTTTTCACAGCATTCGTGTTCTTGCAATGAGCATTCTTGTTAATACGTCCCAGTATCGGGACTGCCTTATTTCCAGAAGAAATGCATCAGACGTGACTTGATGGAATTGAATAAAATTTAATCATAACTAGCAGTCTTCTCGAAATCTTTCCGAATGGCTCAGAATTTTTGATTGAAGTAGCCGACCCTGCGGGGGAACTCTCATTTGACTCATTTTTCAGCACTTTGAAAGCAAAACACTTAATTGCCTTGTTTTTCAACGCGTGTTTTTTGTAATGTTCGCAACAGATGCTACGAGAGCTTGAAGCACAGTTAAGACAAAAAGATATGCGAGCATGAAGTTCCGCGAATTCAACGAAACGTTATACTATGGCTTGATTTCTCCTCTACGACGTTTACCAAAATGACTCCCTTCGAGGCGTACTTTGGGTTTAGGAATTAGGGTGTCACAAGATCCGCGTGACGCATTGGTTCAAACTTCAACCAATGCACCTCTCGGTAACAGACCATTGCCCACTGGACCAATCACAAACGTTCCTTTATTCACACCAGTAGAGGTGCACACGGTGGTTGTCGTGACGATGGTGTTCTCGACTGCAGTGAGGAAGCGTAGTGCTTCTGCGGAGCGTCGGCAGTGTAATTTGGTCTCGAAAGCAATTCATATTTATATTTTTACTATGCTTTGACGGGGCTACATTGGTACCACCCAGTGCCATCGTTAGACGTAACTCTTAGATTTCACCAGGGATGTTTTTGAAACATGCCCCAAAGGTTGAAACCGCCCTTTGACGCATTTCTGTCATTACGCCATTTTCTGACACGTCATAACGTGCTTTTCTGTCGAAAGACGACTAAGCGCAGAAGTGTTAAGAAAACTAAGTCGTCATCAGAACACGAGTTCAGCTGGAAAACTAAGTTGTATCCAGATCTGAGGTAGTGGTACCCAAAATTGCACTTTTAGCATTCGAGTTGGCGTGGAATGGTCCAGGACTCGTTCTTGGGCTTGCCGGAACTTTAAGGCATGAACAAGGTCCACTTGTGGTCACATTCGCATTTTTAGAAACGTCGTTCAAGTTTTTTACAAGTGCCCCAGCTATCGTTAGCTGTGTCCAAACGGCACCTCTTGCTACGTTAAAGCTTGGCTATTTTCAGCAGGCAGACTACATGTGTTTGAGCTGTGAAAGCATCTGAGATACTGCTACTCATGTGAATGGGGAAGGCCTAATGAGATTGTCCACTATGTGCATTATCTGGGACTGCATCCGACCGAGTAATCATGTTTCATCCTGAGACGTCGGCAAATGTCTCGATGTGATTAAATGATATCGGTATGCCCAGGAACAGCATGAGTTCCCTAGATTTCGGGTACTGCCGAGAATAAAGTTAAGAGCTCTCACCAGGGGACTCAATTTATGGGACTCCTGGAATGAAAGACTGGGCATATTCCTGTGAGTGCTGATGGCAACAAAGACGCGGCTATCGGCGGCCTGCAGCCTACCGCCAACGGCCATCTTGCACCAGTTGTTGTAGGTAAGGCTCATTTCTGCCAGCACAGCTGCGGGCTGACCTCTTGGCTGCAAGCCAAAATCAGCCGCAGCTGCTAAAGGCGTGGTGGCCGGAGACGCCGAAATATCCCCTAAAGCCGGAGACGTCTCCTAAAGCCGGAGACATCTCCTGAAGCTGGGGACATCTCCTGAAGCCGGAGACGTCCCCTGAAGCCGGAGACGTCTCCTGAGGCCGGAGACGTTCCCCTAAGCAGGAGACGTCCCGTGAAGCCGGAGACGTCCCCTGAACCCGGAGGCGTTCCCTAAAGCCGGAGACGTGCCCTGAAGTCGGAGACGTCACCTGAAGTCGGAGACGCCCTCTGAAGTCGGAGATGTCCCCTGAAGTCGGAGACGTCCCCTGAAGTCGGAGACGTCCCCTGAAGTCGGAGACGCCCTCTGAAGTCGGAGACGCCGAAATGTGTGTCTAGCCTCATCATAAGCGAATGCCGGGTGCGCTGCTGCGGCCGCTGTGCGAGGCAAATAAGCCGTGCTGTTGACGTATGCTGCTTCCTAGGCGTGGCGACCGAATGCATTGCGCAAACCTGGCAATGCTTCATTTGTTTTGAATTCAATCGGTCTGAAGAGAGATATATGTGTATTTATAAATATATATATATATATATATATAGATACGTATATATATATATATATATATATATATTTATATATATATACATACATACATATATATATATATACATATGTATCTATATATCTATATATATAATGCGTAACACACGCGGAGGCTGAGGGGTGAATCCAGTCACTTAAGTTTGACAGCTTACCAGTGTTATGTATGAAATACCCCTCCGACTAGGACTGTGCATTCACTGGAGGTAGTGACGTTCAGGCGGATACAGAGCGCCAGCGCCCCCCCCCCCCCCCCCCAGCAGGGCGGCCATCCGTGATGAGCTGCCTCACCTCTGCTGGTGGGGTAGCTCGCCGACCGGAGAGGTCGGTCACTGTGACCAAGACCGACAGAGGTAGCATGCCATGCGACGGCCCCGTCTGGCGCCTGCACTCTGTCGGCAGCACGTTGATGTGCGGCAGACGATGTGTGCGTCTGCTCTCTCACGCTATGGCGCGGGGTGCCTTCTCGTCTTGCCCTGCCCTTGGATGGCATGCGGTCTCGTTATACCCCGACCCGAGATCCCGTCCGCAGGCCGCAGAGGTGACCCGCTTGACCCGATGTGAACGGCTGTTCAGTGCGTAGAGAGCCCTACGCGAGCAGTCACAGCGGTGCGTTGGATTCGGCTTGGTTGGTTTTCGAGCCCTTTCGGCCAGCATTTGCTATTTTATGGCTATGAGATGCAGGATGAGGTGAGTGGTGGGACAGTGCTTCAGTCGTGGTGAGAGGGCCGACGGGCCCTACCCTGCACACAGGAATCCCTCTGGAGGTACGTGCGAGTGTTGGAGCGGTATTCCCGCCAGAGCAGCACTTAGCGCGCCTTGAGCCGACGGCCGCGGCTCTCCCCGAGAAATGTCGTGGGGCGGGCAGTCAGAATGAGGCGATGAGTAAGAACTGAACAGCGAGTGATGCTTCGGACTGAGGACTTGCTGTTTACCTAAACCTGACCTCGAGAAGCATTCAATTTCCCTTTATTTATCTATTCATTCCTTTATTTGCGCGAGACCCCACGCGATTGTCAAAGTCATCACCGCTTATCCAATTGGCTGCAGTCTATGCGCAGGGATGCTCGTCCTTGCTGCTTCTCAATAGCAAACCATTGCATCCATCCGGCCGGTAAGCGCCGCTCTCTTCCGGCTGCGCCCCGGGACAGCGCCACCGACGGCCGCGTGTTCGCGGCGCCGTCCGCCGGGCGGCGCTAGCGTCTGCGCGGCCGGCTGGCGTAGATCGATGCTCCGGTGGCGCGGGCAGCCTCATGTGTGGCGGCGGCGTGGCGAGGTCTGTCGGGAGAGAGCGGGCGGCCGGGGCGGACGGCGTGCGCACCAGGCTTGGGACCTCCAGTGGAAAGTAGATAACTACGCGACGATCCTGTGAGTACCAGACTCTGGCTTTCCATGGCCTTGCTCGCGAAGTCCCTGGAAGTGCTGCCGGGCATGGGCGGAGAATTGATGACGTCAGACGCAGCAAGAGACGGAGGACCTGGGGCCGTTCCACAGCGAAAAGGCATCAGCTGTAACGGATCCCCGATAGACCAATCGCGCGATGGCTGGCCATTGGTTGGCATATAAATGCATTGTTGGAATATCCAGCGGGTTCTGGTGAACGAGCCTTTATTAGAGAGTCACACAGCTTGTAATGACTTATATAAACCACAATTTAACAAAATATGCAATTTGGTGATGCAGGAGATCCATTGTGATCCGGCTGACCAACGCGTCTTAGCCGACATTCAATCGGTCTGGTACGTCAGCAGCGTTACATGACCGTGCGGTCGATAGATACCTTTCCAAACCATCACCACCTGGTCCGGCTCTTCCCACCGGCGCTGCGTGCTAGTTCGGGGATGGAGCCGTCTCCGCCCTGCGCGGCGAGGCACGGCCCGTCACAGATGCCCGGCTGGCCAGCTGAGCCGGTTCCGCTGCGGCGGTGCGTCTCGCTGGCGGCTGCGGCCTGCTGGAGCCGGCCGGGCGTATTCGGTCAGCAGCGGGCGCCGGCCGCCGCCGCGGCCGCGTGCGGTCAGCCGCCGGGCACCGCCTCTCCGCTCCAATCGGCCCGGCCGATGTTTGGCTTGGCCGGCCGGCGTCGGACCGCGGGACTTCTCAGCGGGCGCTCCAGCGGGCTGGCCGCCGCGTGCGCAGACCGGGCGCCAGAGTGCGCCGGGCGGCCGAAGGACGGCCAGCTGGCCGGTCTGGACCGGGCCCGCCGCCGCACACGCGCTGCAGCGCCAAACCGGAGTGGGCTATCTCCGAATGGGCCTGCGGTGCTCTATGACGCCTCGCCTTATCATGGTGCAGATGTTTGTTTGTGATGGCTGGGCATGGACCATGGTCAAGTTTGACATACGATGCCCATGTATGCATTTATCATACCGACTAAATGAAATTATGAAAAACGTGTGTGTGGGGGGGGGGGGGGGGGAGCGGCCACGCGACGCGGCCCACGCGAGCTGAGTTGACGCGGCGCCCAAAGCGATGGTTACATGCCGGGGACAGCGGAAGAGGCATGCTAGGCGCTAGCAGAGGCGGAGACAGGGCAGACCAACTGGGAGGCAAAAGATAAATGGGTCAATAGTGGCAGACCCAGTACAGCAACGCGCATGCCTTAAAAGAAAGACAAACACGGAACCTGATGAAACATGTCAAAAGGCTGGAAATTTGTTACGCCCTTGTTGCTCGAACCATGTCGACACGCATCAGCCCTGCCAGAGCCCGTTGTTCATCAGCCAATGGAAGCCCATTCCGTACTTCGGGGTTAGCTATTCCTTACCTTTGACGTCACGACCCAAGGCCATAACATACCCACCCAAGGGACAAAGTAAGTGCGTTTGTTTAGAAGTAAGTCGCAGGTGCTGACATAGCAGCGCATTGCAACGGTCGATGCGCTGTTGGTGGTCTCGTATGTCCAGCAGTAGGTCTTGACCTTATATGAAAAATGTGGTCGATAATGATATATGTGGCTACATACCACTGGCCAAAAACTCCTGTTGGAATCATATTTAAGTGTGCCATTTATGTGCGCTACATGTCCCCATGAGGTTGGATCAGCCGATTTTAACTGCGCTCATATATTGCATTAAGGGCGTTCCCCATGGGCGTGCATCTATGACGCAACCTCAGTGGGCGGAGCTTGGGTCGTAAATCAGAGAGTAACTGGGCTGTGGGAAGGTCTGGGCCGCGTTCCCCATTTCCAGGCGTTCCCCATTTCCAGACGCCGTCCACAAGTTTTAATGTATGACATCAAATGTATAATGTATGACATCAAAAGGTACTTGTGACGTGATAGGTAGCAGCCTCGGGTGGGTGCTTTTGTAAGGGGGAACGCGGCCGTGGTCGCTAATGGGCATGGAGCTCTGCCCTCCACAGCCTACCACTTCACGCGATCCCCGCATCCCGTCATCCCAACAGACTTTCAGCATCCTTTTTCTTTCGTGGTCATCCGACATGCGGTTGGCAGACAAGTTGCAAAAGCCACTGGGGAAATGGAAATTAAGTGCCACGATGACGACAACCTTTAGCAGCCGTTGCATATACCATAGACGTACATAGGCGACGCGGAATGTGATACTATCAAAGATAACAGAGTTTTTTGTTTATAATGTTACTGTTTGCAATCTGCGCAATTATTGGCCCTTTGCATGCTCAGAACTGAGGCAGAGCTCTCCAAAAATAATTCGGGGAGGGGATTCTAAAACTTATTTCCAACTACAGTTGGTGACCGTACTTCGAACGCATTGTCGTAGGCCTACTGGTAAAGGGATGTTTCACATTTGACAATATTGAATAAGGCATCAGATATGACGAAATGAGCTCACTTATTTCTATTGGTATGCTTTTAAACGCAAAAGGCTGCTCTAGACAACACAATTTCTCTATGCTGTAGTAAATATGCCCTCAGTGTGTAATTGTTGATTACGGCATCGTACCTTACACAGCATTAAGAGTCATTTGACGAGCGTTATATCTGGAAATCGTGTCCACGAACGCCAGTTATTAACGATCCAACAATAATATTTTGACTGGCCTTGATCGCTGCATGGACAACGGAATGGCATGATTTGCAGGACTTTATTATCGTGTCACGAATGACTGGATAGCCTTGAAATAGATTCCCCGAAAATCTGCACATCTCCGCGGGCCTGTAGCTCGGGAACTAGAAGGGCTTAGGTCTTAAGAAGCGCATGCCGGGCAATGCGTCGAGTAATGTTCAAAATGGTTATTTCATTTGAACACCTCGTGCAAAGTTATAACAACCCCTTTAAATAAGATTATTAGAGGCTCAGAACCCCACCCTCGAAATATTCAAAGGCATCAAAATTTGACTGCAGTGCCATAACTATGGGTGCACCTGTTACGTAGCGGAGAACGCGAAGTTGAACATGCACCCCATCTCTGTGTATTTCTGAGATCTTCTGGAAACTCTGCAAGGTAGTTTTTATTGCTCTTTGGGGAAATTGCCTGCATTTTCTCAATGCGAGAACAAGATATGGCCCTGCATCATATTTTTGATTTGTGTGATTATGAGCGTGTGCATGGGTTTCAGTTCTGGGTCTCTGTCTCTCAGTTGGGGTGCTTCTGGGCGCGGGATGACCGACAGGTGTGTCGACTGATGACGCTTTGCATGATAGCTATGCTGACATGACAGCTGTTAGACGTCTGGGTGCTCGGCCCACGAAATGGTGCACCCTTGGCTGACCGGATCATCTGGCCCGGTCCGTTTCCAGCGGCCACTCGACTCGGCCACTCGACAGCGGCGACTGTGCACCTACAGTCATTCCCCTCCCAGTCCACTGCAGCGGCCACCGGCTGCTATTACCTCCAGGCTATTTCTAGGACCGAACATAAACCTGAACCCATTCAATGTTATTTGTCGTCATCATGTATCAGTACTGGCATCAGTAGCATCGAAAAAACTCTTTTTTAATTTAGGGAGCGTCTGAAATTCCGAACTATCCCGGATCCAACCCTACATCGGCCAGTGGGATATATGTTACACCCACCCACACCCACACCCATACCCACACCCACCCACACACCCACACCCACACCCACACCCACACCCACACCCACACCACACCCACACCCACATCCACACCACACCACACCCACACCCATACACCACATCCACACCCCAACACCCACACGCACACGCACACGCACATGCACACGCGCACCCACACCCCCCAGCCACCCACACCACACACATACATGTGTATACATATATATATATATATATATATATAGATATATATATATATATAAAATTTAGGCATACGTACACATATTTTGTACACACACACACACACACACACACCACACACACACACACACACACACACACACACACACACACACACACACACACACACACACACACACACATATATATATATATATATATATATATATATATATATATATATATATATATATATATGTATATATATATATATATATATATGTATGTATATATATATATATATATATATATTATATATATGCGTGCGTGTATGTGTTGCTGCACGCGGGCGTTTGTTTGTTGGCTATGTTGATCATTGCAGCGTGCGGATACGGTAGCACGACGCCACCCGGGCCCTGCGTGCGGCCGTAGCAACGTAGTGTTGGATCGCGCTGGAAAGTAGCCCCCCCCCCCCCCCCCTCCTCCCATTTAGCTCGCTGATCCGAGTCAGTCCGGAGCAGAGAGGCGCACTGGGTCGACAGCGGCCTGCTGGGTCGTAAACAACCATCGTCTTGGCCTCAATAACACGCTCAGGGAGAGAGGGAGAGAGAGAGAGAGGGGGAGGGAGGGAGGGAGGGAGGGAGGGAGGGAGGGACGGGAGGGAGGGAGGGACGGGACGGGACGGGACGGGACGGACGGGAGGGGAGGGGAGGGGAGGGGAGGGGAGGGGAGGGGAGGGGAGGGGAGGGGAGGGGAGAGAGGGGAGGGAGGGAGGGAGAGGGGAGAGAGAGGAGGAGAGGGAGAGAAAGAGCGGGGAGGGAAAGAGAGCAGGGAAAAAGAGCAGAGAGAGAGAGAGAGAGAGAGAGAGAGAGAGAGAGAGAGAGAGCGAGAGAGAGAGAGAGAGAGAGAGAGAGAGAGAGAGAGAGAGAGAGAGAGAGAGAGAGAGAGAGAGAGAGAGGGTGAGGAAGTGAGAGTGAGGGTGAGAGTGGGAGTGGGGTTGAGATTGGGAGTGGCAGTGGGAGTGGCAGAGGGAGAGGGAGAGGGGAAGAGAGAGAGCAGCGTCGAGACTAGGTAGTGGGTACTGCGTCGCCCGCCGTTGCTGCGTCGTGCCGCCCGCCGGCGACAACACCCGGCGGTGCCTACGGCGATCCGACTAATGGCGCCGGTCCACTCGTGCTTCTTGGTTGTAACTGTA